ATTCCTGCCTGCTGTCATGTACATCAGGAAATAAAAACCCTAAGATTCATGCTAGAAATGGGGGAGTTACTTCTCCAGTCATGGAGTGATGAGAACCTTCCCCCTTGGTCGGAATGTTGGCCAAGGTAACTTACATGAGAGCCCTTACGTGGGGGACGAGATGAACTCAGAACCATACCAACTGGATGGATTGACGAATTTGCTCCCTCTCCACCCCCACCACTCGACTCACCTTGTGGGTAAGATTATTTACCTCAGCTGATGCTGAGTGATACATTTCTCCTCAGGTCCGTATTCCCTGAGTGTATTTCATATATATTTCCTCCTCAGGTGTATACTTCCTGAGTGTTTTTTATATTTATCCTCAGGCACATTTTTAGGTTTCCCTGAGTGTATTCTTGGTTTTGCTTCACTGTATTTCTGTTAAAATGGGCTTGTTTATTTGCCAGGTGACCAGGCTCACTGTGGGCAGGTTGTTGTTGTTGTTGTTGTTGTTAGTGTTTGTGTGTTTCATAGTGCGTTGTTGTTGGTATTATATTAGTTATACAACCTTTAGTATACCTGTAGCTTTCCAATTTATCACTAGCAATTCAAAAGAACCTGTAAATGTTGTTGTAAATAAACGATTAGTATTTGTTTCCCGACTTGCATCTGTCGCATATTCGGTGCCGGCCTCACAAGACAAGATTTATTTCCCCATTTTTCGCAACAGCACACACACACACACACACACACACACACACACACACGTAAGTTAGTTTGAATCCTATCAATCTGTGATCTGTAACCAAGTTACTATTTTTATTATCTATTTTTCTGAATCAACTTAAACATAGAAATTGGTTATTGATTAATGATTGCTAAAATCACTTTGCATTGTTGCTAAGTTGTAACTCTGTATAATCACTCCATAAAATTGGTATAGTCCACACTTTCTTCTTGTCATTATCAAGCAAGGAAGCTGAGAAGTCAGATGGCAGAAGGCAATCCTGCCATGGAGACCTTTACTAACAGTGACTGAAATAGATATTTTTGTAATTATACTTTGTCCTAAAATTGTATATTAATGAACTGCATTGAACTCTTGTAAATATAAATTTAAAAAATCTAAGCCAAAAGACTTCATGCTACTCAAACTTCACTGAATTTACAGCAAATTAAACTTTGTGAGCTTGAAAGAATAGCTGCACGTCTGTGGAGAAATTCTGAAGGAGTTAAAAAAAAAGAAAAATAATTCAGTAAGTAGTTTCCTTCAAGATATCAAATACTAATAAGCCTGAATTAACATAATATTTAGTATTCTGAATTGAATTAATCAACTATGTAGAAAAGCATTTCAATATACATATAATGCCCTTAACTTCAGTGGAAATCTTTCCTTTCTCATCATATATTTACATGATTTTCTCATTAGACAATAAATGTTAAATTGAATTCTTAAATAACATTAGTTTATATATAGAGAACAAACAAATGTGAAGTTTTGGTTATACTAATGCAGGAATGAAGGAAACCCTCAAAGAATGGAAGCAGACTATTAGAAAGCATTTAAGAATTTTCCAGTTCATTGCTGCTTGGATGAAATCACTATGGGCACTGTCTTCATATTTCCCTAGCAAATAAACCATTGCCTTTAGCGTGTGGTGACATTTCTGTCTATGCAGTGATGGGATTGAATGAAGTAATGGCTTATAAATTTTTTGTCTATATTAGATGCACTTTAAAATGTTTCTCAATGCTTAAGATACCATTGCATTCATCAGAATGTTCTAAATAGCATGGAAAATTAATTTCAGTTGTTATGAAAGGGATATGTCAAATCTTCTAATCTATGTTTTTTATTTCGGTGGTGGAACAATATTTTAAAAATATACAAGAAAATGCCAGTTCCTTTTATTTCTTCTTTTTATTTCTTTTATTTTCAGCTGTATCTTGTGGTATTCCTGAATCTCCTGGGAATGGTTCAGTTCTAGGTAATGAATTCACTTTGGGCAGTAGATTGATATATGAATGTAATAAGGGCTTCAGGCTAGAATCTAGTCAACAAGCAACAGCAGTATGTCAAGAAGATGGATTATGGAGCAACAAGGGGAGGCCACCTGTTTGCAAATGTAAGTGGGCATGTATTTCTCAAATGTATTTTCCTTGACCTTTCTCAGGAAAGTCTTCACTGGTGGTGTTTATGTTTTGTATATACATATACCCTGAGCTGGCCATTCAAACATATAATCATTTAGTAAAGTAGAAGCAGCCTATAAATTTGTTTAATTAAAAAAATTCCTTGTTTATATTCTTTAAAAACTCTGAATTAAAATTACTAGATAATTCAGTTTGAAGTATTTTTTCTTATTGTAAATAATGTGCTCTTCTTCATTTTCACAGTATGAAGTTACAACCACCAATTGTAATTTATTTTAATATATCTTCAAAATTATTAAAAGCAAAACCTATTTCTTAAAATTTTGCTAATTAATATAGAAAAGAGTCCTTTAGTCTTAATTTTTGCCTTTTGTCAGATCTAGCCAGTGTAATGCAGACTCCCCTATCATGAGACATGCCCTCTCATTTGCATTGGGCTACCACGGCCTGTCTTTGTACTGGATCAAAGCAATAATGAACTAAGCCTGACTATGAATACATGACTTGAAATACTTAAAATAATAAGGACATAATCTTAAAATTTCCAATTTTTTTAATACTGTATTTAAAATTTTTGAGAGTTAATTTAGAATATTGAACTAATAAGTAGTATGTGTACATGCTTTTCAGATTCTGAATTTGCAAAGCACTTTGGTTTTTCAAACAAGTGAAATTCAAGTTCTTGTTAAAGAGTAAAATGCTGTGAATGTAAGAATTGTAGAGTTATACATGATTGTGAAATTATTTTCATTTATTTGAAATTAACTGATAGCAAGCAATTGCTAGAAAATCTTGCTGCATGTTACTTCAAGAGATCTTCTAGACATCCCTGAGAGATGATAATTTAACCTCATCTTGAAGACTTTCATGAGTATTTCTGTATTTTACATTTTTTCCCCTTGCAAAGTATTTCCTGAGATATATAACCTGAATCTGTTTTTCCGTAGTGTAAAGACATTATTTCATTTTGTATCCACAGTGGACAGCTAGAAGTTATTTTATTCTTATTATTTTTAATGTGTTTGAAAACTGTTGTTTTTCAGTGTAGTGGGTTATCCTTGGCCAGCAGCCAGATCCTCACCCAGCTATTCACTCACTCCCCCTCTTCAACCAGACAGGGAGAAAAACAGGATGAAAAATAGGATGAAAAAGATAAAGACAGAGAGCTTACTGTCATTGGACTGGACTTGGGGAAAGTTAATTAAAATATTGCCAATTAAAATGGTGTCAAATACATTTCAGAAGAAAAAAAATAAATCAAAACAACGCTTTCTTCCCCGTATTCACAGGGTCAACTTCACTTCTTTGTTTTTGACTCCTCTCCCCACCCCAAACAGTGATGGGGCATGAGAAATGGGTGTTGTTGTCAGTTTATAAAAAGCTCCTCTATACTACTCCTTCCTCCTCATACTTTTTCCCTGCTACAGTATGGGTCTTCTCCATGGGAATAAAATTGCTTTATCATGAGTCCTCCAATGGCTGCAGTTCCTTCAGAAAGTAGCCACCTGCTCTAGTGTGGTCTGCAGTGTGGATATCTGCTCTGTCATGGTCCTCTGCAGGGACTGAAGCAGAATAACAGGTCTGGTGTCTGGAGCAGTTTGTCTTCCTTCTTCTGTGACCTTGGTGTTCTTTGCTGCTTCTCCCTCATTTTCTTTCCTCTGCCTGTGAAGTGTTTTACCCTTTCCTAATTACACTTTCCCGGAGATGCTACCATCTTGGCTGATGGGCTCCTGTGGTGGGTCAACTGAAACTACCTGTGTCCAGCAGCCGAAGCCTCTCCTCACAGAAGCCACCCCTGCAGCACCCTCCCTCCACACCAACACCTTGACTCTTGCACCCAATACACTCAGTCACCTTTTCTGTAGCAATAAGCTGAGATTCATTCTCACTCTTTCTTCATACTTTTTGGACTGGTGATCCTCATTGTTATCCTTTGGACAATCTCCAAATGCTCTACACCTTTCTTGAAGGATAGTGCCTAAAACTGAATGCACGATGTACAAAAGAAGGATTATTTCAAACCAGTAGTGATCATACAGGTTGCTCTGAATTCAGAGCTATGTGGAGGGAAGGCAGTGCTCCAGTGTATTGAACTGCACTTCATTCACTTAGAAAAAAATGACAAGGTACAAACACAACTTGAATGATTAATCAGCAGAAATATCAGCAGATTTTTTTGGAGGGAATAGGCCAGTTAAACTAACAGGGGATTAAAAATTCTGAATTATTAACACTATATTTCACTAGGGTGAAATCGGTGTGCTCATCTCGC